GTACGGAGCACGAAGCTAACTCTTCGTGCTCAGCTGCAAGCAGTAAGCATCCGTTCTTGAAACGCGGATGCCGGCGCTCAGCGCGCGTGCGCTGGCGACTGGAGCCATCAACGCCTACTGACGCGAAAGCATACCTCAAAAAGAAACGGCTTTCCTCGAACCTTCAGCCCGGATTCAGCCCTAAACCCTAAACCGTTTCAGCCCCGAACCCCAAACCCCGAAACCCCTAAACCCGCCTATTGCCAGGCAGGGATCTCCATGGTGGCCCGGCGTATTGTGACCTTGACCTGTGCGGCGAACAGTAGGGGGTCGTAGGATTTAGCGAGTAGGTGATGGTAGCTTCTATTAAGGTAGGGGAAGTTAGGGCTCCGAGAACCCTAAGCACCAAAACCTGAACTCTAAACCCTAAGCTCGAAACCCTAAAGTGTGAATTCTAAACCCTGAACTCAAAACCCACCCTAAACTGTGAGTTCTAAACCCTGAGCTCTAAACCCTAAACGATGGATTAACTGAGGTGGGCTGCCGAAGCCAGGAGCTCGGGGATTTATGGTTTCGGGCTTTTGGTCCTAAGGCTGCAAGGGTTTAGGGTGTTTAGGATTTAGGGTTTAGGGCTTAGGGTTTAGGGCTTTGGGTTTAGGGTGTAGGGTTTAGTTTTTAAGGCCTTCAGGGGTTTTAGGGGTTTTCGGGTTGTTGTGGTTTTAGCGGGGTACTGGTTTCGGGTCTTTCGGGCTTTTATCGGTAGCTCAAGGGGTCCTTTCAAAGAGGGTTTCTTCAGACGGAGATCTTGAGCAACAGGGAACCCCGAAACTTACACCCTAAACCCCACAACATCAGCAGTGCCACAAAGAATCATGATAACAAAATTAAGAACAGTCACAATAGCAACAATAGCAACACTAACAACAATGACAATAGTAACAAAACCAATAACACTGATAACAGCACCGGTAGCAGAAGAGCCGGCAATTGAAACAGCTGTATTCATAATGCTAGAAATCACAACAGCAATTAACAAAAAAACATCATGCTACCAAGAATCAGGGACCCTACCCCGACCCCCACCCCCGCCCCCAAAGATGCAGATCTACAATACACCATCAGATACTATATGTTACCCGATTATACTACAATATGCATTATTGCTTACCCGACCGAAACCCTAAATCTCAAACCCTAAACCCCAAACCCAAAATCTTATACCCTAAACCCTAAACCCTAAACCCTAAACCCAAACGCTACACCCGACATTCCACCTGCATGCTGGAGTAGATGTCTCCACCCGGCACGAAGGACCGGTCGGGCTTAAAAAGCTCCACGTCCTGGGACTCAAGGGGCTCTTTAGGGTTTAGGGTTTAGGGTTTAGGGTTTAGGGTTTAGGGTTTAGGGTTTAGGGTTTGGGGTTTAGGGTTTAGGGCTGAAGGCTAAAGGTCTAGGCGGTTTTGGGGTTTAGGGTTTAGGGTCTAAGGGTTTAGGGCATAGGGTTAGAGCTTTAGTGGTTGAGGGTTTAGGGGTTTAGGGGCTAGCGGTTTGGGGGTTTAGGGTTTAGTGGTTGGGTGGTTTAGGGTTTAGGGTTTCTTTCAATGGTGATAAGGGAAGCTATAAGGTGACTATAGGGGTTCAGTAGGACTTAAGGCCCCTGCAGTAAGCCTATAACCCTCCAAAATAAGATAGGTAATTCTTAAGGCCCCTACACAACTCATGAACTCGAATCCTCAACTCCCAAAATAGCCCTTGGAGCGTCCGCATAGAAAAGCCTAAACCCCAAACCGTGAGCACCCTTTTAGTAGCCTTGAAAGGGTCCAAGTAAGCCTTCTTTACGGCTTTTGGTGCCCAAAATCCTATAATCAGAGGTACTTGGACCCTTAGAGTAATACGAACCCTATCGAACAACTTGTAGCACCCCTTTTAGCCGTTATAGACTTTTTCTCACGCACCTTCAGTCCTTCGGCAGGATTTAATGTACCCCCAAACCCTGGCCTCATCATTGTTTGAGAAACGCCAAAGGGGTTACGCCGTATGGCCGTAGGGTTGAATTTTAAGGTTTGGGATTCGGGGCTAGGTTCAAGTTCCTTTTTTACCCAAACCCTACAGGTTTAGGGTTTAGGGTTTAGGATCTAGGGTTCAGGGCTAGGGGATGAAGGCGAATACCGCAAAAAGGGGCCAAAGCAAGTAGCAAAGGACTCCTGCCTGCGTTCACACTATGCACGCGGGGTTCTCAAGCTTTAGCTTTACCCTGGGAGCCTTGAGCTCAGGGTTTAAGGCTTCTCCGATATCAAGGCTTATGGGATTGAGACCCTCGGCGGGCTGTCCCGAGTCGAGGCTCTCTCAAAGGGGTATGGGTTTAGTGTTTAGGGTAGGGTGTAGAGCAGCGATGCGAAGTGCCCTGCCCAAAGACGGGCCCCATGCAGTGCAACAACCTGACCCACGATGACACAGGGGTAACTTTCCCGGCTTCAGGACGGGCGCTCTTACACAGACTACACTCCTTCTTCACCCCAAACCTCTCTTCGCTCTTTCTTTAACCCTCACTCCCCCCCCCCTCCCGCTCGCTCTCCCTCGCTCTCGGCTTTGCTTCGAGGGCTGAGGCACGGGGACTCTCTCTCCTGGGCAAGGAGGGCGTCCAAAGCCCTCGGGGCCGATGGCCAATTGATGTCGGATCTTTTTTTGTTTTGGAAGGGGGGGACTTGAAAAGCTGCGCTCCGACAAATGGAAGACAAGGAGAGCCATAAGCAGATTAGTACCTTCACTCCCTTTCTTTCTTTCTGATGGGCTGAGGGGGGCCACGTCGTGACCCTCACGCCTTCGGCCCGCCCAACCGTCGAATGGTTTATTGCATGGTCGGCTTTTGGGGCCCCAATGGCTGTTGCAACAGGAAACGGGGTAGTTTTGGAGCCTTAATAATTAGAATAGGGTTTTGGGGTATAGTATACTATAATCATAATCAGGAATCAGGAACCCCAAAAGAATATAGGTAATTATTCAGGCCTTTACATTATGTTAGTGTTGACTTCCTTTCTTTCTTTCTGTTGGGCTGAGGGGAGGATCCCTCGTCCCCCCCTGTGCCAGTGCGCACCCCATTTTGCGATGGATCGAGCGGCGACAAAACACGTCTAGGCTTACTGCCCCAACTTGGAGAAAGCGAACGAAGAGACAACAACAGCACAGGTCCACGCAAAGTCTCGCTCCCCACTCCAATGCACCCTGCACCCTCTTACGGCCTAAGCTCAACTGCTAGCGGGATTCGATGTCGCTGATGTTTGCCCCAGAAGACATGCTGGCCACCGCATTGCCCAGAGCGTCCTTGATACCCTCCTGGAGAAGGCTGGATACGAAAGCAACGGTTCCGCAGTGTCTTCCTTTCGACTGTTCATACCAGCATGAGGTGCACCTTATCAGAGAACAGCATGAGGAGGAGGAGGAGGTCTGTAATCGCAACCCCTATACTCGATGCCATAGCCAAACCCTGCACGATCAACCAATTCCGTAAGATGACGCAAACTCGGCTTCACTTGGCTCGGTTCCAAATTCTTGCTATGTAGGAACCAGGGTGTACGGATCAATCTTAAAACTCTATGGGGTGCCAGGGTTGCGGCCACACTCAATATAGCTTCTTTCGCCTAGACCCTGAACCCCATGCCCACACCCGAATCGACAGCCCAACACGTGAAGCTTCCGAAGCCGGGAACCCGTACGCCGCAACCGCCGCCCCAACCTCCATACCACGGAGCTCAGCAAGCTACATCCCAAAACTGCACCGCCATGGTATGTGGGCACCCTGTGCTCCTGCCGCCGCAAACCCTAAGCTAGAATTCCCGAAACTTCAAAACCCATTATAGGGGCCTTAATAACTAGAGTAGGGTTTTGGGGCCCATTATGCCACAATTAAAAATAAGGAACCCCAGAAGAGTATTGGTACTTATGTAGGCCCCTACATTAAGCCCAGGCTGCTGCAGGATCAACCTAAAGCCCTGAAACCCTAAACCCTAAAACCCTAAACCCTAAAACCCTAAAACCTTAAAACCCTAAACCCTAAAACCCTAATTCCCTAAACCCTGAACCGCGATGCCTCGAAGTCCGGCTGCTGTAGGATCAAGAGAACCGAGACGTTGGCGACCTCGGAGCTCTCTGCTCCTCTTCCCAGTCTACGGTTTAGGGTTTAGGGTTTAGGGTTTAGGGTTTAGGGTTTAGGGTTTAGGGTTTAGGGTTTAGGTCCGATCAATCTAGAAAGAGATGGCATCTGATAGGGTTTAGGGCTTTAGGGCTTTAGGGTTTTAGGGCTTTAGGGTTTTAGGGTTTTCGGGCTTTAAGGTTTTAGGGTTTAGGGTTTCAGGGTTTAGGGTTCGGGGTTTAGGGTTTAGGGTTTCACAGCATAAGGACCACCAACATGTACGCGAAAGATTGCAATCGTTCTATTGACTACCCTGGGCCGCCGGATAAGGCGTCCGACATTATGGGAAACCCCCATTTGCCGTCTACTTCCACATATCCAAGCGGCGTTGAAGGCCAGGGCACTCGGGTTTGTTGGAGATTTCTGGCAACAGGTCTTGAAGGGACTACGACACTCCAAGAAACCCTGACAAAGGGCTCCTCAACGATAGGATTTCGGAGGCCTGTGGGAGGAATGCAAAGAGAGGCCCAACGCAGCTTGCAGTTTCTGCTTGGAGGATCATGGGACT